TTGTACCAAATCACTGGCGGTTTCGTGTACCACAGATGGGATTGCCTTGAGGGGCGGCTAGGAGAGACCTTGAGATGATACGAGCTGCGGGCCCCCTTTTCGACTGGCTTTGGGCCTTGCACTCTTCCTCCCTCCTTCTCCCTCATGTACCCCTCCGATAATACATGCCGTTAACAACACTATTTGGACTCTGGAGGTCACACAACAAGGGCATACCAACATTCTAGAATGCATCCTCCGGAGGAGCCCGATGATCTTCAGAGTTCAGCTGTGGTGAGAAGCAGCAGCAGGAGCGTTGTGCGTGATCCCGTGGTAAGGACATTACTGAGTGACACGACGCGCAAGTTTTGACTAGGGTTTCGAGTTGAGGCGAGAACCAGGGGTGTAGGAAATGATGGGCAGGCTGCCATCACTTCTGCAGGCCAAGTCGGGTGGGCAAGGCCAGGATTGAACGGGCCGTGCTGCGAGAGGCACGGCAGGTGGAGCGGGATTTGTGTGTTCCACCGAGCAGCCACCAAGAGCTGCGTGGTCGTCAGGGAGGGCGACACTGCGGGAGGAGAGAGCAGCAGTAGACCGGACGTGGATGGCGCCCTGGTGCGGGCTGTTGAGGTCCCTGCTGAAGGTGTGTTTGGTGCATTCCAGTACACCAACTCTCTCCGTCTGTTGTAGAAGATGTGGCAGAGCTGTTGCACAGCAGAGTTGCTACCACTGGGGGCACTAGCGAAAGTGTCACAGCGACCGACTTATCCACTCAGGAGGGGTCGGACGAAGTTAGGCGGCGCCAAGAGGATGCTGTCGACGGTGGGGATGCTGTGTAGTGCATGTCCACCAGGAGTCCCAACGGGGGCTCCATAGAGCGGGAGCACGGAGGCTGCCGCTCGCCCGCAGGTGCGGGTCGTGGGAGCAGAGGAGAGTATCCGCTACTCCCGAGCCGGTTGCTATATCGGTTTGTCCCCATTCAAAGGGCGTGTAGGAGGGGGCACGCGGAGGCGGTGGAGTTCTGCCGCCTGCACCCCAGCAGCATGGAAGGAACACAAGACCGGGAGATGGCCTGGAGGTATACAACACCAATGTCTGCTGGGGCGGGTCTGGAGACAAGGCCGGAGCGGGAATGCCCGCGGGTTGTACCCGCAAGGTATGTGGCCCGCGAACACGGGTGGAGAACACTCGTGTACACTTGAGAGTGTAGTGTATGCTCTCTTGTGTTTATCCCCATTAAGGAGCGTGTAGGAGGGAGCAGGCGAACCCAATCCGCCGTGTGTGCGGGGAAGGGTATCAAAAAACCTTGCTGGCCCCGATGGAAATGCGGGGAGAGAAGTGTTTCCTGGCCCCGATGGATAGCCGGGGTATCACGGGAGTTGTGTGAGAAGTGCTGGAGTATTTGGCCACACCCATCAGCACGGCAGCGGCCGTGGCTACCTTCTACCAAGAGCGGGAAGGGGGCAGCGAACATCAAGGCGCGTGGGGTACCGCGTGCACTCTACATCATCAGCTGGCGGGGCCCGGAAATACGTAGCTGTGGGATGGTGGATTTCAAAGACACGAGAAAGCCGTCGTGTGCCTGTCTGCTACGCCGCTACACCGAGGAACTTCGGGACGCCGAGGGACTTCGGGTGTGGGCGGGTGGGGATGTGAAGTAGTGCATGTCCATCTGGAGTCCTTCGGGGGGGGCTCCGCAGAGCGGGAGCACGGAGGCTGCCGCTCGCCCGCAGGTGCGAGTTGTGGGAGCAGAGGAGGGTATCCGCTACTCCCGAGTTTGGTTATTACGCCGACTCAGGACTAAGTCGAGCAGCGCGGGTAGCGCCGCTGGGGGGCAACCAGTTTGCCCCGGACGCACGGTCTGGTGCGTCAAAAGCGTTTTGAGAGCCAACGGGTCTACTTCAATCTGGTTAGTGTGCGTGTGATGAGTGCCGTGCTTGTAATCAGATAGGCTTGAAGTAGTTTGGCTGATCTCGAAATCAGATGGAGGAGCAGTTTGAGTGTGACTGCTCAGGCGTTCAGTGAGGGGCGCCAGGACATCTTTCTCCGGGGAACAGCAGGTTGGCCGTTCCAAGTTTCGTGCGCGAGTGATGAAATGATGTTGCTTGCGTTGACGCTGGATGAGATGGCATGCGGTATAGGCGTGTCATTTGTCGCAGATTGGGCAGACGCGTCCGTTTGCGTGGCGGTAACGCCGGGTAGGCGTTTCCACGTCTTGAGTAAACAGAGGGAACATCGCCAGGCGTGTCAATGTCTTGTGTAGACAGAAACGGGGCAACGCCAGGTAGGCGTCTCCATGTCTCGTGTAGACAGAAAAGGGACATAAACGCGTTTTGGGCGTCGGTATAGATACGCAGATCCAGACGGTATAGGCGTTCCAAGTCATGTCTGAGATGTCGGGCGT